TGAAGAATGTATTCTGTTGTTGAGGAATAATTATTCCCAGATAGAGTGAGGCAATGCCAAGCACAAAGGGTTTGGAATATGAAGAGCTGAGATTTTTGTCTTGGTATGACAATCTTGTGTGACTGAGAGAATGACAAGGCATCATTTAAGTGTCACTTACCTGATTTCTAAAATTAAAACTTTAGACTAAGTGACACTTTGTTATCTCTTTCAACTGTGGAGCACCTTAATTCTAAGCATCTACTTTGCCATCTAAATTCAGAAACTCTTTAGGTTTGAAATTGCCTCAGGGAAAGTGCTGCTAACACACCAGGGGCTGGGACCATGTGTCTTTGGTTCCTGGTATTCTCATTAGGGATGTACAGTTTGGTTTACAATTGATGTCCTTTCTCTAATTCCACATAGATTATCTAGGTTGAGAGAGCTTTTCACATTGTTATCATACTGACCCCTCCACCCAATCCTGAACTTCTCATTAGGTCACAGAAAAGATAAACCAAAAGGAATAATGCAAGGCAAGAGTGGGCTTGTGGAATTGTCTTTAGATCTCCTGAAGGGATTGAAACTGGAGAATTTGTTTTCAGTAGGGAATTTGGTTAAACCAGAATGATGACTGTCTAAAAATTCTTGTTGGTTTTTAGTTTAAGCCAAATCATACATTCAATCCTGAACTGCTTAAGTTATGGGGTCAAAGTGAACATGAACTGTTTTAGACTATCCATCAAATGCAGTCTTTTATTCATTAGTCTTTAAGACTGATGGTTAATGAATATTAATGGCATAGACCTATTTTTATTGGGAATTTAATTCCACAACCATTTCATAAGGCAAATACTATGGAGAATTTGGGACATAAAGACATTTTTTCTATATATAATATATCTAATAAAAGCCAAGATCTCCAGGTTTGTCAGACTGAAGAGTCTAGAAATTCAACTTTCAGCTACTAAACTACACTGCTTAATGTAACAATAACTGTGTAGTAATGTGTAGTCAAGGAGAATGCACAGAAAACCATGCTCCTCTGCATGAACCACACTGAAATACCTCCTCACCAAACTAGCAAACTGCATCGTTAACTCTCATTTCAGAAAAAAAAAAAGGACACTAAATATTTGGTGTCATTATAGGTTAGGTATCAGAAGTAAAACAAAACAAACAAACAAAAATTTCCTGTGAATATAACATTTTCATATTGTATGTGTGTCCTATGAAGTAACTTTTTCCATTTTTAGAATATTTGAACATGATGTGGTACAGTTTTTAATGCTCCTTTATACCTGTTCTGGATTTCTAATCTTTCTGTTTTCTCTCTGTTTTTTAAAAAAAATTAAATAACAATTCCCCAAATCACCTAAACCAGATAGCATAGTTGAAGAACACACAGTAAATCCTCAACTACTCCAACTCCCAAAAGGAATAGCAAAAAAAAAAAAAGTGCAAAAAGTAACCTTATTTGCCCTCTTGATGGAGTTTAAGCTTCCAGAGAAATCTTTTGAAACAAAATGCAGAAAGGCACTATAAGCATTATTATTAGAATTTTAATATTTTTTCTGCTAAGAACACCTTATGGTGCGTGATTGATATAGACACACTTCAGCAAAACTCTCTGTTAAAAATGCACACGCTATCTTCCCGTTCTTGTTTTATCTTTCGACTTTAGAGCGGAGGTAACTCAAGGATTAGGAGAAGGGACCCAGACAGAAGTAACTGCAGGGAACCCGGGCATGTAGTAACTGCAGGGATGGACTGAATTGCTCATTTTATCTGAAGCTCCTACAAATTGTCTTGCATACCCTTCCCTTCTCCCTACCTTTATTTTGTTACTGATCTGGGTGTTCCTTGGTCCTATCGATTCTTGTTTAGTTCAGTTTTGTTTTGTTTTGTTTTGTTTAATACCTATAGAGGAAGAAAGACTCCTGAACTAACGGAGCCGCCAGGAAAGCGCAAAGGGAAAAGCAGCCACTTCCCTATTCCCGCACCCTCCCCCACCAGCCTCTTTTGCTTGAGGAAGTACTTACTGTAAAATATTCCAATTCCCTAAGCGGATCCTCTCTCCGCACATCCCTTTTCCCCCTTTTTCTTTCCAGCAATTTTTTTTTTTTAATTTTTACATTGGTCACAAGGCTGAGAATGGAATCCACCTCACCTCGATTTTGCCTTTTTTCGTATTAAATCCCTATTGCGCTCAATAAAACATATGCTATCTCAGCAAAGGTGAATTCACGACTATTTAATCCTGCCACTACCAAAGAGCGAACATGTAGGGAAAAAACCGATGCATTTCTCAGTGTCAGCCCCAGGGCTCGGGTTCCCAGCAGACCGCGCAAGGTACAGCCCCAGTCGGAAACTCCCAGCCTTACTCAGGGGGGAAAACGGGGTTTTCCGGAGACCCGTCCCCTTAGGGTTTAAAAGCGCGTCCCATGGGAGCTTCGCTTTCACTTCTCTAGGGAGTTCCGAGCTGCAAGAGCCCCGCTACTCACGGAACTCCGCCGCCTGCGTGAGTGACTTGGCGCAGCCAGGAACACGGGAAGGGTGGGTTGGAAGCCGGTTTGGCCGAGGGCAGCTCAGGCTAGGGGACAGACAGGCTGACCAGACACAGAACCATTGGCTACCTCTGAGACCCGGCTGTAGGCTGCCGCCGCCGCGCCACACCAGGGCTGAAGCGCTCGGTCTGGGGACGGAAGGCTGGCTTCGGGACAACTTCTCACAATCTGCTAGGCGCAGCAGCCATAGGTGTAAGTGGCTACGGGCCACAGGGCTCGGGCGCGGCTGGGGGCTGCCCGTGGGAGAGCCCGTACTCTCTGCAGGTCCAAAGTGCAAGGCCGGGCTATTCCCGGATGTGCCTTGGAGCAGGGGACAGTAGCGCGTCCCGGAGTGGAGTGCCCCAGCGCGCCGGGCGCGCGAACTTGTGCGCCGCGCGAGAGGAGCGCTTACCATGGAACATGGTCTGCGGGAGGTGGGCGTAGTCATGATGACCGCAACTGCAGCAGGAGCAAATTCTCACCGCCCATAGTCACTGCCAGAATCCTGATGTTCCGCGGAGTTGCTGAGAGTGTTTGCCCGGCAGGGCGATCTCTGCAGCTGGTTCCTCTTACCCACGCCGCGCCTGCTGTTTCATCCATCCCAGGGGGGGCGGCACACACCACGGCCAGACTCTGCGCTTTGCCTTTTCCATAACTTCCGTAGGATCTGCCGGCAGAGTACTTTCAGTTTCTACTTTGCGCTCAGTCTGCAGGTTCAGTCTTTGGGTTCATCGCCAGCACGCCTTCACCACCTCCTCTCCTGGGCACCTGCTTCTAGTGCAACTGGACCTGGACCAGAGGAGGGCGCGAATTTCCCAAGCACAGCGGAAGAAACAGCTGGTCTTATGAGTCAGCGATTGGGGTAAAAAGACTTTCCAGATGACCTCTACACGCCTTGGCAACACCGGCAACTAGGAGGTAGAACCACGGATACGTCCAGGGGAGCCACAAATGGGAAAGACGAAGGCTGGGTTATTGTAGCCGGACGCCACCGAGGAGGCGTTGCAGCTCCGGCCGCGGATGTGGTTGACCGTGCCAAGTAGTCTTGTAAAAAAAAAAAAAGGAAGTGAAGAATGATTAAGAGGGTCACGCCCTCTGTCCCTCCAACCTCTCTAACCAGGCTCTTTCAGCCCTGTCTTCTGCACTTGCACCTGCTCAGGTGGGACCTCCAGGAAAAATAATCTTGTTGGGTGCACCTAATCTGGTAAGTGGTATCTCTGGAAAATCAAGCTCTAAATTAAGAGCGGGTGTGTGTGGAAACTGACTATAATAGTTAATAACTGTTACTTTCACGTTAGTTTTATCTGAATTGCCTAATAAATCAAACTATCTCGACTGTGTCACTGAAATGATTTTTTTTTCTAGGTCTGAATTTTTTCTGCGTTATTTTGCTTTCTGATATTCTGCAGAAACCCATCTTAGAAGAAGGTAGTTAATATAAGCCAGTAACAACAGAGATAATAACGCTATCGTTTATCTCACACTGAGACTTCCTTATGTAGCTTGTCTGAGTTCATTTAGCTAAGAGAGTTTGAATACAAACCTGCTGCGTTTTGGTCCTAGAGTCCATGCTTGGAACTTCTGTGTTAGAAGTCCTTGTGAATAAGGCAATATCGTAGACATTAAGCCAAGCGGGAGACGTCAGCATGTGGGCGTGCCTTTATCCTGGTGTGGGACCTTAGGAAAGGTTTCTGGAATCTGAAACTTCTAAATTGACTCCTGAACACGAATGAACGTGGGGCTGATGAAGAGCATTCCACATTCTCTCATAGTGTGAACAAAGCCAAAGGCAAAGAGGAGGGAGAAAGAAACAGAAAATGATAATGAATGAGAGCGTGAGACAGAGTTATTCAAGCCTGAAACTTTGATCTCTGATTCCTCTTCTGGTCTCACTTATCACATCCAATCCATAGGCACGTCTTGCTTTCTCCAACTGGGAAATAAACCCCGCAGGGTGATTACAGAAGCTGTTTGAGGGAGCTTTCAGCTTTCCCTCTTACCACTACCCCCATCATTCTCCTCAGTGCAGTGGGATATCTGGTTACCCTTCCCACCTTTTGGGTCACTTCCCATTGGGCGCCAGCCTGCTGCCCTCTCTGACTATTGCCCTCTCGTTCCTATGCTCCAGGCTGCTTCTTCCAGCCCAGCTTACTTCCACTTAGAACTCTCTAGCACATGGCTGAGTTCAGTTAAGTATTGTTGATAGTAAAATGGAACAAGTGAATGAGAATGCATGAGTGAATACATGTGAAGGAGAAAGTGTGTGAAGACAGGGGGAAATAAAGGGGAAGACAATGAGTGGAACGACTGGAACAGGAGACAGAAAAGGGGGGAAAGCCAAGCATTTCCATTTGAGGAAAACCTAGGTGGGAAGGGGAATTCTGTAACTAAATACACCTAACTGGGAGATTTATTTGTTTAAAGCCCCAATATCAGCTTTGAGTTATATAAGTGCTCACAGTCTGCAGCTTTTTTTTTTTCTTTTTTCTTTCTTTCTTTTTTTTTTTACTTTTCAGGAACAAAATAAAAGAGCAGTCATCAATAACCTGCACAAGAGGAAATCCATCTTCCTTTTTGTTACAATCACCACGCCTGGCAGAATAAGGGCTTGTGCATAGCTGAACTTTGAGGGAGCAACAAGGGAAATTATTTAGAGTTCTGGAAGAGGAGATAGAAATTTCTCACTGGATTATGTCCTCAAATTAAAGCATTTTGAGTTTATATGATTATATGAAAATGGGCACGTTCTAACTACATTGAGCTATTATTTTTCTAAACATTTTGAACAAAATGCAAAATGCAGCCTTAAGTTACCTGTTGGCATTTTGATAAGCCAAATACTATTTTTTATAAGACAGATGAACAAGGAAGACTGTTTTATAATTTTTACAGTGATTTCATGATTAAAGAAATAGAGTGGTTATCATTTTGTTTGCTCATAGACTCAATGAATTGTGCAGAATAGCCAACAAGGTGATAAAATAGTATATAAATTCCATGAATTATAATCAAAATATTAAAATGGAAGACAGCATTCTCAGAATGATCAATGTATATGTCAACTTAAAGAGAAAATTGTTAAAGGATAAACAACGTCTTAATGTTTTATAATCTTCATTCAAAATAGTCAATTGTTTTTAACCTAAAAATATTTTCTTCATTAATGGTCTGAATTATTTCACTCAACTTATGACTAGTCTTTATAATCTGTGGTCTGAATTCCATGTGCTGTGATGGATAATTTCTGAATTCCTATAGCTTAAATCTCCAGACATAATTTTTAACGTATTTCAATACACTGTCATAGACACACACACAGAGTGAGCTTTAGGAACATGAGATCTACATGTCTGTGTAGTTGTACTGGGGCTTGTACTTAGACAAGCCTGTTCTTGGCTGTATACTCTACTGTCACCGTCTAGAAATTCTTTATGATTTTTGGAAAAGGAGTTGCTTATTTTCAATTTATCTTGGATCACCCAAATTTTGTAACTGGTCATAGACATTCACACATGTTAAGTTGGGCATTTTGGATAGCAATGCTGGTCTTTGTAGTAATTTCAGTCTAGTGGGAAAAACAGATGTTGCATGTCTAATATCAAGAGTGAAGAATACAATGAATAGGAGCTTTTTAATTGATCAAGTCCCATTGACTTATTTTTGTTGTTGCTGTAATTGTCTTTGGGCAATTAGTCATAAGTTCTTTGCTAAGGCTAATATCTAGAAGAGTTTTTCCTACATTTCCCTAGACTTTTTATGGTTTTATGTCTTACATTTGGATCTTTTATCTATCAGGAATTAATTTTTGTAAGTGATGAGTCCTGTTTCATTCGTCTGCATGTGGCTATTCAATTTTCCCTGTACCATTTATTGAACAGGGCTTCTTTTCCCCAGTGAATGTTGTCTGCTTTGTCAGAGATCATTTGGCTGTATCTAGATGATTTTATATCTAGTTCTCTGTTCTTTTCCTTTGTTCTAAGTCTCTATTTTTATACCAATACCATATTATTGTGATTACTATATCCCTGTGGTATAACCTAAAGTCTGACAATGTGTAATGCTCCAGATTTGTTCATGTTGCTTATGATTGCTTTGGCTGTTTCGACAATTTTGGGGGGGCATGTTGTCTAAATGAAGTGTAGAATTATTTTTTCTAGACCCGTGAAATATGAAGTTGGCATTTTGATGCAGACTGTATTGAATTTATAAATCACTTTGGGCAAAATGGATCTTTAACAATATTCAATATTGATCCATGAATATGATATGTTTTTCCATTTGTTTGTGACATCTGCAGTTTCTTTTACATGGGTCACTACAAAACTTTGAGACCAACTGTTATGGTCCATTATTTCACTTCCAAAAAACATAGTCGACTTCATCCTTCCTGATTCCTGCAAGTTTCAACTTGCTTGGCTTATCAGTGTTCCTGGGAGGGCTTCATATGGTCCATTATTTCACTTCCAAAAAACATAGTCGACTTCATCCTTCCTGATTCACCCCTGCAAGTTTCAACTTGCTTGGCTTATCAGTGTTCCTGGGAGGGCTTCACTTGTTTCCATTTATGCGGATTTTTGGTTTCTTGATTTTTCTATATTTCAGCAAACTTTCTTAATGATCCATCTCTCAGCATTTCATAGTTCTGATTATAGAGATATTTTACCTCCTTGGTTAAGCATATTCCTCAGTATTTTATTTTCTTTGCAACTATTGTGAACAGTCTGCAGTCTTTGACTCTCAGCTTCACTGTTACTGGTGTATATAAATGCTACTGATTTGTGGACATTGATTTTGTAACCTGAGATTTGCCGTATTTATCAATTCTAGGAGTCTCTTGGTTGAATCTTTGGGGTTTTCTATCATATCATGAGTGAAAAGCAGTAATTTGACTTCCTCTTTCCCAAATTGGACACCCTCTCTTTCTTTCTTTTTTAATCTGATTGCTTAGACTAGGACCTCCAGTACTATGCTAAATGGAAGTGGTGACAGTGGACACCCTTTCTTTGTTCTAATTCTTAAGGGGAATACTTTCAACTTGTCCCAATTTAGTATGATACTGAATGTGGTTTGTCATTTATGGATTTCATAATGTTGAGATGTGTTCCTTCTGTGTCTAGCTTGTTCAGGGATTTTATCATGAAAGAGGGCTGGATTTTGTTGAACGCTTTTTTTGCGCCTATTGAGATGAGCATGGGGCTTCTCCACAGTAAAGAAAATAATCAACAGAGCACATAGACAACCAACAGAGTGAAAGAAAATACTCACAAACTGTAAATCCAATAAAGGACTCAAATCCAGACTCTTCAAAAAGCTCAAACAAATTGGCAAGAAAAAAAAATGCAGCCCCGTTAAAAAGTGGGCAAAAGACATGAACAGAATTTTTCCAAAAGAAGATCAACAGATATGGTAGAACCTCCATAGTTGCCCATCTCCCTATTTTGCTCACTTCTTTAAATTGAC